GACGTCTTCGTCCTTTCCGTTTCATATCCTTTTTCTTTGTTCTTTCTCTTCGATTTAATATAATTTACAGTTTCATTCCTTTGCTTTGCTTGAAAATTCCAAGTTAATATGCTACTCTCTTTATCTTTACAACCGTTTGAAAATTAAAATTGTGATCGATAAGTTTGAGAAATGAGGAGTGATTGTTTTGTTTCGAGAGAGTGAGAATTGTTTTGATTTTGAGGATTAATCACATCTTTAATCCAGATGCGCATGATAATTCTCAGATCAGTTGATAATCGGCTGGTAGCATGAATACTTTAGTGTGATTCTTTATTTTGCTGATTAATTAACTGCAATATACGTGCGCTTAGGTTCTACATTGCTTTTTTTTTTTTTTCGTTTTGCCATCACATGAACTGACGTTGAGATGCGAATGATTATTTGATAATGACTAATGACCTGTTGTTCGGAATGGAAGAAATTTGGTTTTCTTTAACAAAATTTCAAATTCGAGTCTTGTGAATAAAAAAAAAAGTTATAAGAGAACTTCCTTTCTTATGGAGTTCGAAGCAGCTCGACTTTAGATTAGTCGGACCCAAAGTGATTACCGAATACTGAAAGGTTAATACAAAAAAGAAAAAAAAAAAGCTTATTTGATAATGTATTGCTGGTTCTTTTTATAATTGATGAGAATGAGAATTGGTTTAGTTACATGCTAGTTTCATTTCTGTTTAGTTGCTTTACCGTCTGAGTTTCAATTTAGGCACGCGTTTATGGATCATTAGTATTTGATATTTGTGTTTGTTTTGATAATTCTACCACATTTGACAAAGTGCTGAAAGATCTTGGACGTGAATTCCTTCATCACTAGCTACTTTCCTTAGTTTCGTGGCATTTTCTTCATATGTTGAAGATTTGATAATTTGATATTATTTTACTTCATCTGCTTTGATTTTACGATATGCATTTTAGATATTTGAGTGTTGAGACCATAAACTATCTTATTTATGAGAGGAACTGCTTGAGCTGTGAAGTAGAAACTAATCTTTAAAATATAGTTTATGAGCAAACATAGGAAAGTAGATATTTATGTTTTGTTATTTTTCAGTTCCTCTTTTTATTATTTGGTACTAAATTTTAATTATTTTTTTTAGCCCCAATCATTATTTTGATAAACTTGTTACTTTTATAAAGATCAACTTTTAAAAAATTACTCCAAATTACTGGTTGTTTGGAGGCCTTAACTTAGGTTTACTTCTCATGAAAGTATACACAGCGGCTACATTGCCCTAAATGCCATCCAACGACGGCATGCAAAAGTTTCTACGGGTGACACCATATCTGTGAGCAGGTCAATAACCTCACACCTTTTATTTATTTATTTATTATTTTTTTTTTTTTTTGTGTTTCCACTTTATTAATAATTTCTGAGTTTTCTTTGGTATATATAGATTTATTCCTCCAGATAATTTTAACCTTGCATTGCTTACACTTGAGCTGGAATTCGTGAAGAAGGGGACTAAGAATGAGCTGGTAGTTTTTCAGTCTTGATGGTTTGTTTACTGTCCTACTAGTTTTCTATTGCTTCATGAGGGTTGTAGGACTAAAATTTTCAATCCATTTGTAGGTTGATGCTGTTCTGCTGGCTATGCAGTTAAAACAGAGGTTTATTAACCAGGTAGAGTTTTATATGGTTGACTTGTTTCATCAGCATGCTACTAGGTTTTTCTTCTTTCTTTATTTTTGTTTTAGATGAGCTGATTTTGAAATTTGAATTTCCTTCCTGCCATCATAATGTTACAGGAGTTTTCATTCTTAAAATAATGGAACAGATGATTTATATCTAATGGATGTGTCAGTTAGGTGCAGTTTTTAGAACTCTGGGTGTCAGAAAAATTAAATACAAATTCTATTTTGACAGTTACAAGCTGCTTAAGTGTGATTATTATATGTAAAAATAAAAAAATATTAGAAGCTCATTTGTTTCCACAAGGTTAAATTTGTTGGCCGGGACTTCCTGTCCAATTGTTAATGTAATCATCATTGCTCTTATGTAGAAGGGGAAAAGAAATGTAGATCTGATAGGTAACATCTCTGTGGGTGGATTTAGACTCACACACACAAACTTTCTTACTACTTAAATGCATACAGAATGGACTGAATTGATTGATCTTTGTTTATCATTCCTTTCTCATTTGAGAGTCATATTTTTAGTCATTGAACGTTGGTAACCTTATGTGCAGGTTATGACAGCAGGCCAAAGAGTTTTCTTTGAGTATCATGGGAATAATTATAATTTTACTGTCAATCAAGCTGTTTTAGAGGGGCAAGAAGGATCTAATGCTCCTGAAAGGGGACTGATTTCAAATGAGACATATATTATCTTTGAGG